AGTTTTGAAAGTAGAAACCAGCAGCAAAACTGGTGTTGCTTAATAAATGGAAAATACAGGACATGTGAGGTATTTACAATAAAAAGCACCAAGGCTCAATAAAGTTGAGGAAATATCTATTAAAATGAAGAATACTTCAAGTTACAATTATTTTCCTTCTCAAATGTGTATGTTTTAATTAAGTCTTTTTTGTGTTTTATAGTTCCTACATTATCAGGTCATTTGTAAATTCTGACATCTTTACATGCATTTTAAGCCACATTTCTAATTCTACTGACAATTAATACTTCATTCAATTAATATTTTTACGTTTACCAGAGAGGTAATAAAGCCTTTCATCTTTACAAAAAAAAAAATCCTTTTAATCATCTCCAAGGTTGTGCTGCAGGCAATATTTTGTAGGTGTACTTGGAAGCTGGGTAACAATTGCAGAAATGGAACTGCCAACACTCTTTCTCCATTTGGAGGAAATTCCAGCATTTTAGTGCCTTGTGTTTAGGAGGAGGGATGCTGCACAAGAATTGTGCATTTTTGCCCATAAAAAATTGCTTTTCCTTTTCATAGAAATAGCAAATCTCTTGTCCCATCCAGTGCACAGGAGCACTAAAGGACCTGCCTCCAGCACCTAATCCTAGAGGATCATTTCCCCCTTGGAAAAGCTGATGTGACAGGTAATACTCACTGAAGGGCTCCTGAAACAAAAAATATTAGGGAAGCTGGTGTGAACCTCAGTCTTTCCAGGCTTCTTGTCCCTTCTGCAAGGGTTGATTCAAGGAGTTCTGCATGCTCGAGGGTGTGAGCAGAGTGTCTCTGTACTGAAACTTTGAAAAGCAGCACTGCAAAAGCTCACTGAGCCTGAACTGTACAAGGAATTCATGTCAGCAAGGAACAGAAGTACCTGAGAGTATGAACTGCACAATAAATGGCCCATGGCTTCCTGTACTTAAAAAAAAAAAAGGAAAGTTCACAGGGTAAAATATCACAAGGAAAGAAACTATTTCAACCAAATAAATGACAAGAATATTTTAAAGAAAATGGGGATTGGCTTAACAGAAGTAGTTTGAGCCAGGAGTACTTTCCTGGTACAGAGGGAACTCAGGATCCAACTTTGCTTTCATGATGCTGTGCCAACACAGCCCATTATGCAAGAGAGGACTTTTAAATCCTTATTTCAGAAAATAGGTCAGACTGAGCTTAAACACTTCCTTGTAGAAATACAGCTTAATGTGGATTTGAGCGACTACCGTGGCTCAGCGCCAGGCAGCAACTTCAGAGATGTTGCTGAGAAATGTCCTTCAGCCTTCTTTTGCTTCAGTCTTCCTTCTTCAGAGAAAGAGGGCAAAACAACAAGGCTGAGAGGTCTCCATCAAGGACAAATCACATGGAATAGCTGTGGAACAGCTACATCCAGCAGCTGATGTCTGCTGGTGCTGCTGCTGGACCACGAACGGCCTCGAGGGAAGCAGAGGGAGCTGCTGTCTGCAGGTGGGATGAGCAGAGAGCTGAAGCCCTGTTGGCTGGAGACGTGAATCTGCCACATCAAAAGTTCATTTCAAACACAGGGCAGGATTGGCTGCAAGGGGACATAGTGGGAAAATCTTTTATCCATCCTAATTTCATGTGTAAGAGCAAGGACAATGACTCTGAAAGGCATAATCACAGAAGTGTTTCATTATTTTGTTGCATTTTTTTAATAAGGCTTAAAGCTTGACATATCCAATCAATTCTATTTCCCCTGTTGCATTGTGGATTAGTTAACTGCAGAAGCAAGAAAGGGTGCCTGATTTATTATGTATAGAGCTTTGGAAAACTACAAAAAGCAGAAACATAGACAAGTTACCCAGCACCACTAATGGCCTTCAGCAATGATGAAATTAAACTAACTGTAGTAAAAATGCAAATAAAAAGCAATGTATGAATTCAGGCCTCTGTCTTCATTAGAGAATCAATGCAAAATGCATTAATTCAGGCAGCCAAAAGTAAAAAGAAAGGGGGGATAAACACAAGTCTGTCATATCTGTAACCTTGGCAGCAAAGAAATGTTGCCAAATTCATAAAATTTCCCAACCACATATATGACAACTTACACCTGGTGGGTTCTAGAAGCCTGTGTCAGGAGTTCAGAGGAAAAGTCTCCAGGAAAAAAAGGCCAGTTTCACCAGGAGACAGGAGGAGCCCCTCTTGAAATCTCTTCCATTATGAGAGTGTGAAATTGCCAAGCCACATCAAACTGAACTTGCACAAAATTTTAACCAGACCTTTTGTCCAGTGCAGAAATCTCTACTGTGTCTTGCCAGCTGGCAAAATGCCTGTCCTGCTGCAAGGAGGGCTCCAGCTCAGGAACAGCTCCTGCTCTCAGGGCTTCCCAGTCACACTAAGGAGAAAACAGATCAGCAGCTGCTTGAGAAATCCCTGAGAGTAAGATCCAGAACCCAAACTATTCCAGATAAAATGTAAGATAAATTCAACAGCACTACCAGCTGCCTTTGAGGAATCCATTACACAGCCATCAGCTCATGAAAACTCTTGGCTTTTAAAGACTGAACCTTGGCTTTTAAAGACACAGAGGAGTGAAATCTTTGTGCAGCTGTGGAACCTCAGGGCCCCTTGGTGGGGAAGCAGCTCTGATGAAGCCTTGAGCTTGTGCAAACCAGAATTAATGCTGAGAAAATGGACCTCAAACCTGTGCTAACCAAACTTAGTGCTGAGAAAATGGACCTCAAACCTGTGCAAACCAAACTTAGTGCTGAGAAAATGGACCTCAAACCTGTGCAAACCA